CTGACAACAGCCCTGTCTTCTAGTTCTGAAACTCTGACCTTGTAGTGGTTACTTTGCTGACCATAGTTTTGATAAATTGTTCCCTTTAAAAATAGTTTTAAACATTTACCATATTTTTGATTAGTCCACAAGGATTCTGTACAGCATCCTGTCACCTGTGAACAGAGACAGTTTTGATTCTTTCCCTCTTATTTGGATGTCTTTTATCTTTTTCTTACCCTACTGCTCAGACTAGAACTTTTTATACAGTATTGAGCAGCAATGTGAAAATAGCAATCCTTTGTTTGTTCTTGACATTAGGAGGAGCTTGAAAATTTTCCTCATGGGCATGTTAGCTATAGTTTTTTTCATAAATGCCTTTTATTCTGCTAAATAAACTTTCTTCCATTGTTAGGCTTTAGAGTTCTTTTATATGAATAAAAAGTATTGGATTTTGTCAAGTACTTTTTATGTACCATGATGACCATGGGGAGGTTTCCCCTTAGGTTTATGAATACAATATGTTATACTGATTGATTTTATAAGAAATGTTGAGCTTCCCTGATGTTCCTGTGATGAATCTCTTTTGATCACCAAATCTTATCCCTTTATTATATGGTTGCATGTATTCTGCTAGCATTTTGTTAAAATTTTTTGCATCTATTTTCACAATGTATATTGATCTGCAGTTTTCTGATGAAACATATATATATATATATATATATATATATATATATATTCATACTTACCAACAAATCCATGCTGCTTTCAAGTGAGACAGAATGTTTGTCCAAATAAATATTGTCATCTCTTGGCATCTATGAGGGATTTTGTTCCAGGACCACATGAGGATACTTAAATTCCTTACAGTAGGTATCACATTTGCATATAACCTACAGACGGCTTCTCATATTTTTTTCTTTTTTTGTTTTGGCGGTACTGGGGATCGAACTCACGACCTCATGCTTGCAGGCAGGTGCTTATGCCGCTGAGCTAAATCCCCAGCCTAACTTCTCATACATTTAAATCATGTCTTTATTATTTATCATACCTACATTATGTGTAAATAGTTGTTATACTGTGTTTTTTAGGGAATAATGATAAGAGTTCAGTACAGTTCAAATTTTTTCCAAGTATTTTCAATCTGCAGTTGTTGAACCAGCGGATGGGGAACCAATAGATATGAATGGCAGACTTTATATCATAAGCTATACCAAGAAGGATGGGAGCCAAAAACTATCCAGGGGTCTTTCACTTTCTCTGCACAGCTGTGCTGTGAGAGTTTCCTTTGGGGCCGTCGTTTCTCAGTTAAAATCCTCAAGAAGGTTGTAGTTGGCATGACTTTGTATTATAATTCATTCAAGAGCTGCATTCAGAGTAGTAGTGTTGTGTTTTCCAATGTTTCTCAAGCTTTAATTTGTATGTACTTCGCCTGAACCTGTGGTTAAACGTCTGAGTCTCTAGAGCTGTTATAAATTACTTCTCGGCATTTTGGCTGAGATGAAGTGTATAGATGTTATAAACACAGAATTTCTGGGTCTATGTTTCTCATGAGCATCAGGGGATGCCATTACTCCTGCCTGTGGACCACGCCTGGAATAGCAATCATGTGGCCAAGGTACGTGGGACTACGTTTGAAAGTGTATCAGGGCAGTTGTCCTAAAAATCAGGGCCTAATCGGGTATCCCAAGAGGTATCTGCCACTGTTAGGTCATGCCTGTATCAACATCATTATTTCTGAATTTTCTAATGCTATGATTACTGGGTTACCATTAAAGCAAAGTTCTCTGCTAAGAAAGGTAGCCATGCTAAAGCCAAAATTCTGCAGAAGTCATGCAAGGAATGAATGCGCCTGTGTGCTTTGTAAAAAGAGCCAGTACTTGTCATGTAATATACTTGTGATCTTGCACATGATTTCAGCCCTCAGTCTGTCCAATTTCTACTTTCTTCTACCCAGATGAAGGCAACCAGGGCGAGACCTCAGTAATACAGCTGACTAAGTTTTCCTCCAGCTGGTCTAGCTTCCCGTTTTGGTGGCCTATTTTGGTAACTGAAGGCCCCTCCCTTCAGGAGGCTCAATGTCTCCTGTATGTTTCTCTTTCTTCTTTTTCAACCTTGGGATGGATCTGCTGCCAGTTTGTCCATTATTTCTAACACCTACTTTCTGGAAGAAGTTTCCAATTCTGGGACACGCCCTCGCCCTGTTTCAGATGGGCAGCTTCCTTCAGGACCCATGCTTCTGTCCTCTGAAAAGTCAGTCAAGGAATTATATACCTGCCCCCGAAGGCTGAAAGGTCAGAAGGAGATTTTGACCCCTGGTGACTCTTGGGAGAGCCAGGTTTGTCTGCAGGGTTTGGGTCCCAAAGCATGAATGGGGAGGAGCACACAGACTGGGGGCCACTGCTGACATAACACCCCCACTTCTGTTCTGTTCCTCCCCTCTCATTTGTGGCTGAGCCACTAAGAGGTGCCGCGCACCTCCTCTTATCCAGAATGATCTTTTTCTACTCTGCCAGAGGTGGTTCATGTTTCCCAGGAGTTGCTCTTATTTTATGCTGTGTCTGAATAACATTTTCATTTCCTCAAAGTTATATTTGAGAAGAAAAATCTCATGACTGTTCATGTTATTTCTTCCTGTTATAAAATAACATTTAGTTAGGCTTGAAAATGGCCCATTGATGATCCTATCATATTTATCTCTTGCAAAAATATGTAAGTGAAAATTTAAAACTTTAAAACCTAAAGAATTTTAAGAAAGAATGTTTTAAAATTTTTCATTTTCAAAACTACACTTACACATTCCTGGAACTGTCTTTGCTAAATTGAGCTGTATTTCAACATCAATTCTTTCCAAATGGCTTATTTTTATAATTGTTAGTGCCGAGAAACTGTATTCAAATAGATTCGTAGATAGGACTGGAATTAATATTCTTTTGTCACTCTTATTTGGTTTAAAATAAAATTCCTGAGTTATATGCCAGAAATAACAAGATTACCTGTCATCAAATGTTACTTGATGAATGGAAGACTGTCTCTATCTTCCTTCCATTTGGTAGCAAACAACCTGGAAAACACTTGATTGGCAAAAGAATTCATGATCTAGCCATTTGGGTGATACGCTTCCTGAACACATTGCTGAGGTGGTGAATTGCTTCTCTGTTTGGAACCGTAGGATGGTTTACACCTGAGGGAAACTCGCTAGCATAATGAGAAGAAGAGCTTTTGAGAAAAAGACAGAGAACCTGGAAGACTCCTTGACCAGCTCTACCCTAGACAGATTAGCTAACAGATTAGTAATGATGAACCGAAGTCAAAACCTGGAAAAAAAGAAAATGCCCTCAGATTGCCTGAGGAACACATAACCCTGGAAAGTACTCAGTTCTGTCAGTAGTTTTGTTCAAGAGTTCAGTAGTCTCTCAGGCTGGAGAAAGAAACTGCTCTGCATTGTAGGTGCTTCCTGTCCCAAACCCAGCTGAAAGTCTTCCCAATTCTCACTGCCCTGTTGACTTCTAACAACAACACTAGTAGCCAGGACAGACTTACTGTGCCTTTAACTAGTGCAGTATTTTCTTGAGTTCTTCAAAGAAAGAATATAGTCATGGAGAAATTGTTATTCACTATTATTAGTTATTTTAATCAATACACAGTGATTGTGCATATTTATGGACTATGCAATGGTATTGCAGTACATATAATATGCAATGATCAGACGAGATTGATTAGCATATTTATTGTCTTAGACACACCTCTTTTCTGGTGCATTTTTTGTCTATTAGCTGCAGTATTTAATTAATTGTCAACCCTAGTTAATCCATTGCATCATAGAACTAAATTATTCTTTATGTCCAATTGCAGCCCTGTTCCCATTGGCCATCCCCTCCCTGTACTCTTCCCAGACTCTAGGCTTAGTCAGTCTTTAGTTTTGCGAGATCAACTTTATCTTTCACACATAAACAGGAGATTATATGACATAAACATGAGCTAAGACTAAGACTAATAGCATTAATAACAAGAATGAAGAGGGGGAAAATTAGAGTAGGCAGGATGGAGAAGGCAGAGAAAGGGATTTAAAATAAAAGGAACATACTGTATTATATACACATACCAACTCCCCAAAATGATTGTAAAATGCACGTACTGCAAACACGTACTAGCAAACAAACAAACCAAAAAGAAAATGCAAAAACCAATCATATGTTATTTATCTTTCTGTGGCTGACTTTGTCATTAGCATAATGTCTGCCGTTCCTTATCACATTGCTGTTAAAAAGGCAGAAATCCATTCTTCCTGGTCCAGTTAGTATTCCATTGTGTATACACACCACCTTTTCTTTATCCATTTATCATGGAGGCACACCCTAGTTGATTCATATCTTGGCTGTTATGAATAGTGCTATGATTAATCATACAAGTGTAAATATCTTTTTTGACATACTGATTTTATTTCCTTTAGATACATACCCAGATGTGGGATTGGTGGATCGCATGGTAGATCTATCACAGTTTTTTATTTGTGCATACTAATTATATAGACTAATGAGTTTTAGTTTGGTGGATAAAATATACTTGGGTGATTTTCCACCACCCATTTTCCATTTCCTTCTCTTTCCCTTTGTCACCTTTCTCTTCTCTAACAGTCCCCTTCTATTTTCACGTCATCATGAAAGCTCTCTCCCTTTTTGTTTTGAGATTCCATACATGAGACAGAACATGAGATATTTGTCTTTCTGAGACTGCTTATTTTTCTTAACATGATGATCTCCTATTCCACCCATTTCCTGCAAATGATATGATTATTTTCCTTTTAATGGCTAATACTCCATTGTGGATGTATATCACATTTTCTTTATCCATTCTTCTGTTTTTTGGAGGAACTTCTATACCCTTTTTCCTAATGGCTGTACCAATGTACACTCATGCTAACAGTGTATCAGAGTACACCTTCCTCCAAATCCTCACCAGGAAGAAACTTTCTGGGTGCGTATGTCAGGAACCAAGTCATATGTTTCTATTACTATTTTTCAGCTGTGTGCTTGGAAGTACACATGAACTTTCAGAATACAGAACCAGAAGAAGGATCAGCAGCACAAGTCACAGTGGATCCTGATCTAAACAAGACCTCGAACCAATCTACCTTAAGCTGAGGAGAGAGAGGAAAACACTATTTTAAAGAACACCAGGTATTTAAAAATAGTTTTCACCTTTTAAGAAGCCCTTCGTCATTTTCTGTAACAACTGGTGAGCTCCTCCAATGTCGTGGCTCTGTCACAGTCCTGTATAATTAAATTCTGTCTTGCCTTGTTTCTGCTGCAAAATAATACAGTGCTTCCCTTGCATCACATGCTGTGGGAGAAGGAGGTGGGGAGGAAATAGCTACTTCATGTGCTTGTGGAGTTTCATAGACAGGCCCCCGGTTATTTTGCTCTTGCTCCACAGAAATAAAAATATGCTCTATGGAGTAGAAGGGCAATATTATTTCATCTATGCTCTCACTTAAATTACTTAATAGTCTGTGAAGTTGGTATTGTTATTCCAATTTTACAGATAACTCTCTGAGTCTCAGAGAGTGACTTGTTAAATGTGTTTTACAGTGTGAGCAAAATCAAGCTTAAGCAATTGGGGTCTGTTTCATTACTGAGTCCGCTATCTTTCCAACAAGCTCTGGGGTTTGCCAGAGGTAGAAAAACATTTCCTGTCAGCCTGGATAGAACACACAGACCCTAAAGCTGGGTGGGGATCCTAGACAGGAGGAGGTTGGGAAGCTGTCCCAGAGGGTGACTGTGTCTTCAGAAGTGTAGCTCTGCTTAACGCTTTCCACACCATAACATACAGCAAAGGAAGTGCTTTTCGGCAGGTTGGGGTCTGCAGAAGAATCTGTCCAAAGCCGGAAGCAAAGGACCTAATCAGGACCTGATCATGAGGGTTCACAAATCACTTGCGACCTTCATTCCAGCATGGATGCTGGGTGCTCTGACCCATGGCAGTGAGTGCATACACATCTAACACAGTTTCACAAGGAGAGCCATGGTTTAGTTTGGGTCTCTGTGGGCCTGGATCTCCACAGGGGATATGCAACAGCTCATTCCTTTTTGAATACTCAGAATGCAACTTTTTGAATGACATGTTGACTGTCCCCAGAGCGCGAGTTTGACTTCAAAGGATGGAGTAGAAGCAAGTGGATGCTTCGTCAGCTGTGGGCAGCTACGTGTAACACTTGCTGTTGGTGTGGGGAAAGTATAAGATTTCCTATAAATCAGAACATCATTCTGTGTGTTTGCTCTTTTTAATTGGATGATAACCCAAAGTTTGTGCTAAATGAGATAAGAAGAAATAATACGGTACGGAGTTTATTACTCTCACTTTGAACTCAAGACAATTTCCAGGGAAGTAAAACTATGTAGGTTTACGTGTGCATTTACATAATGCATAGGTAGACATGTAAGAAAGGTTTATTCTTGTTCATAGTTTTAGAGGTTTCAGTTTTTGGTCTCTTGGTTTGCTTTGAGTCTGGGGCACCACAATATATTACGTTTGGAGCATGGTCACCTAACAGAGATAAAGCAGAGAGGTGGAGAAAGAGGCCTAGGTCAAATATCCCTTCAAGGGCACACTCCAGCTGATCCGGTTTCCTTTAACGAGGCCTCCCTCTGAAAGGCTCTGTCATATACTAATAGCACATTAAGCCAGTGATCAAGCCTTTAATATGTGAGCCTTTGGGAGGGGATTTCCAAACCCCAGCATATAAGGTGTAAGAAGACCCCAGAAATTTAGGTACATGAGAAAATATTAGGGTATTTTAAAGAGGCCAAAATTTAGATTTTGGCTTTTATTTTATTTTCATTTTTAATCTTCGCAAATCTTCCAAAGGCAGTGGTCGAAGTATAATTTGTAGCCAGGGTCTGATCAAGCAGAGAGAGATGAAACTGCCTCGGTGGAGTGATTTTAGGGACACTGCCCCCATGGCTCTGTTCAGTTTACCCAGAAGTGCTGTTTGCAAAGCAGCAACAGCAGAAGCAAAGGTCCAAAGAGATTAACTCAGTCCTGGACTCCAGGGTATGAGAGAGAAGGAGATTAGAGATAGTTGCCAGTTGTATGACTTTGGACAATCAGTTAAACTCTTCCTCAGTTTCCTCATCTGGACTGGAAGTTACTAAGATCCCTTTAACTTTTATTTCTGTGATTCCATTAACTTCAGTTACCTTAAACTTCTTTGCAAAGACTGTGCTCCACGGGGTAGATGAGGGAGAAAGAAGAGAAATTTGAAGGTTTCTTATGCATACTTTAAAAGGTTTAAACTTACATCAAACCTATAAATAACTAAAAAGCTCCATTCATAGTAAAAATATTGGCAACTGTTTACAGAGTAAATTATATACATATATATCCACATCAAGGGAAATCAGTATATAAATTGGCGTCTGCTTTTGAACAATCAGAAAGTCCTTCTGAGTAAAATGTAAGACTTGATATCATTGTTCAGATCCAAATAAATTTTTCCTTTGTAATTAAACCCATATGACTTGCTAGGTCTCTCCCCAGTCTCTCTTGGCTAACTGCATCAGATACTCTTGGGATAAAACACTGAAATCTACATTTAAGAAGCTCTCTGGACAATGCTGATGTATCATGCTCTGTACTTGGCAATGTTCTGGCGAAGCAGACTTTTTTGCATATACTCTAATGAGCTAATTACTGACTTTTGAGAAGCACTTAGGATTTTTACAAGCATTTTAGAGAAGTATGGGTGGGGTTGGGGAGATGATGTTGATTCCAGGCAAATAAGAATTGTGTTGTTTCTGTATTTGTTTCTTTGTGTAAAATGTTGGATCCTTTCATTGTGATGTAATTGTACTTGGTACCCCTCTCCTCCACACCTCCTCTAGCCTGCTGCTCTGTCTTCTGAATAAGAATGTCTGCCCTGAGCTGCTTTCTCTTTTAGGCACTAAGGAGCTGGACTAGGTCAGTAGCTCCCTTTTAATCTACAGAAAATCACTGTCTCAAGCTCTACACCAAAGAACTCAACATTCTGGTTTTATAGTCCCTTGAACACTTGTGGCTTCTGATCTTTTCTCTCTTTCCTGAGATCTCCTCATCAACTTAGTAGTCACATCTAACCATCTTAGTAGTCACATCTAGTCACATACAAGGGAATATGCAAGGCAAAGAGATATTCAGTTTTTTTTTTTTTACATCAACTAAGAACACTACTCTGCCACCTTTCAATTTTTGCATCTCAAGCAGATTTCCTTTCCTCTTCACTGTCCAACTTCTGTGAATACGGATTTGTGCTTCTAACACAAATCATGGCCTTGTTGGTAATTTTCAAGACCCTTTCCCTGAAGAACTGGACAGTGAGTGACTGAAGATTGGGCCATCAATGAAGTGATTCCTAGTTTGCATTTTAGGCATTTTGAAAACCAGAAACAATGAACTACCTTATGTAACAAAGATTGTAAGAGAAAATTACATAGAATTCAGAAATCCCATGGAAACAGGAGAATGTCTGGACATGGGATAGTTATTCAGGACACAGTGGAGGTCAATAGCACGATTATCTTGTCACTCCTTGACAGACCAATTTAGGAATCTCAATCAGAGTTTTGCAACGTAAGATATGATGACTCATGTTCAGTGTGACTCAAGATCAAACCTCCCAAGAGAATCTGCTTAGACTGGCTATTGTGCTGAGCCATCACAGTCTGCTGGTCAACATGGGTGATCTTTGAACTGGGTGTCTACTTGTGGTCCAATTAGTCATGGCCAAGGAGTGCTAGATTTGGGTAGAGAACATATCAAATGAAACATGGCCACCATCTGAGGTTGGGTTCCCTGGGAGCCCATCCTGAGGATCCACGTGAAATGTTCTGTTGGGAAAAAATGGTAGAAAAATGAAGAAGTAGGATCCAGAGGACAAGTAAAAAGAAGTTAGAGGGTAACTTCAGTTCTAAGCTGTGAAAAGAGCTGTTGAGAGAGGATGACTCACATTTCTGATTGGTGCCAATGAGGGATGGGGGAACTAGGGTATTTACCCCTAAAGCCATTAGTATTTGGTTAAAAGTTGGCCGGAAGCACAAATTTCCAGGAAGTTCTCACTTTTGTTAGGAATTTCCAGGGTACTTTTAGCACTCACAATGAGGTAATCTTTTTTTTTTTTATGTTTTTTTTTTTTTTGGTATGGAGCATTGAACCCAAGGTCTTTGCACTAGGTTATCATCCAAGCCCCCTTTTTATTTTATTTAATTTTTAGCTTTTTTTTTTTAACTTTTAGATAAGTTTTGCTATGTCACTAAATTGCCCAGGCTGGGGGCAAACTTGCAATCCTTCTGCCTCAGTCTCCCTAAGTGCTGGAATTACAGGCAGACACTATCATGCCTAGTAGTAATCTTTCTTCAGGAAACCACAGGAGTCTCTGTCAGGTGTGAAAGTGCATTAGGACCCTGAGCTCAAGAAAATGTTCCCAGGATCCGGGAGACATGGATTGAAGCACTGATATCTGGTGCAGCCAGCTAACAAATTAGCTACAGAGAGGTCTGTCACCAGGAGGCTGTAGTTATTCTGAATCCCTCCCCAAGATAGAGTCTCCCAGACCGCCTGATTGTGACCAGTGCAAACCAAGCTGGAAGCCAAGGCTTATATGGTCGGAGACCTAATGATGTACGCGTCTCCTCCTATCCTGTCCACAATCTGGCAGCCCCAGACATGGATGATTGAAGTGAACATTGGTCAGACAAAGGGTATCACAAGCCAGACTCTCACTGCTTCCAAAATACATCATTTTCAACTATATCCACAAAAATAAATTGCTTCTTATTAAATCACTGAGAAATGATGCTTCAAATATTTTGCATAGACACACATACCTATCACCATTCAGCCCCACTCTTATTTCTGTAAGTGCCTGCCAGGTCCAGGTCTGTGAGATTTTCTATGTAACCAGTGAACTACCCTTTTAGGATTCCTTGGTTGATGATGCTTTTTCCTCTTCTGAACCCCATAGAGACTGGACTTCTTTCTGATGGTTTGATCATAGTAGGGCCTGCACCATAAGAATTTTGCCCATCTCCCACCAGACAGTTAACATTTGAGGACAGACTCAGTGATCTAAATATTCTGTGGCTGGCTCTGGGAAAAAAGGGTGCCTATGTGTATATGTAAGTTTATTAACATTTTAACTACATTAAAAGATGTGTACCATATAGTCTATCAATAATAATGAAATATGCAGATACTCTATGGTATGTTCTATATAGCTGATTGGTTTTCATAGAATATTTTTATTGATTTTTTTCATT